GTCTTGTCCTGCACTGTAGCTTGTTGAACCAAACTGCACTGCACTGCTAACATCAGATATGTTGCTAATTAGCTGCTCAGCTGCGGCGCATTAAACAGCACGTAAATGTACCTGCAAATGTCACTCGGCCCGTTTAAGTGCTGCTGTTTTCTTTACTCTTCAAAACCACTAACAACGCACTGTCTTCTACAGAGCTACTCTGCTTCTCCTTCCCTGTGGTGAACATGCGCTCTGGCAGCCCGCCAGCTGCTGTCAATCATAGACACCAACACACAGAGCAGGAGCATATCTGATATTTCCCCAAACACCTTGTTTTCTTCCTTTTGATAATATAAAATAAAACAAAAAAATTTTAAAGTCTGTGGTACTGGAGATGATGCTTAATACACTCTTACATACTGTATCTCACATCTCTAAAAACCACTCAAATATATGTGGACAACACAAAACAATTTTGACACCTGACAATTGTTGAAAACACAACAGGAATAGAAGAGACTGAGTCATATGACTGAGTAAAATCCAAAAAATAAACGCAACTTGAATTTCTAAAGAGTCTTAAGACCTGAGGCCTGTGTTTTGAGGTTAGTGAGGATGTTCTGCCTTCAGCATCTGCAGCATCTGGTTCACACTGAAGATCTATTGACCGAGATTTTGCCTTTTTTTTGCCCCACACACACACACACACACATACACACACAATAGAGTTTAGGGTTTAGACAGGCAGGTAAAAAAAAAAAATCTGCCCTACAGCACTTTTATCAAAAGTCTACATCTGTACCACTGTGACTTAGTGTAGCACATGAAAGAGTTATCTCCAAGGTGTCAAAATTGATAATGATTTGCATCTGAAATTCAAAACATTTTCCTCTGCACTGGCAGGAGGGGATGAATAAACATAATTTGCTAAAAATCTTTGTGCATTCTGGGGCAGTTTCATCACTGTGAACTATTTTTTATGAGCTCCAATTTAATAATTTAAAATGGGCTGCTGTGCGTCTAAAAAGTTTCTGTAGGGCCTGGAGGGTTACTGTTCCTTTTCAGTGACTTCGTTGTCAAGTGTCTTAAGTTTGTTCTCTAGCAGTTTTTGTTTTTGCCTGTGTTTATGACAATGAGCGTGCGCATGTATGTGCATATCTTTTCTACTGGCTCTCTCCTCTGTGACTGCACACAGCTATAACTCAGTTGCCTTGCTGTGCACGCACTGGAAGCACACTTCGTGCTGCAATCCACACACGCCCAGAGTGCTGCTGGGAAGCTTAGGGAATACTTCCCCTGTCTACACACATACACATACGCACACATGCTGTTCGCACTACTTATTGCCTCAGGTACTTGGCTGTGCTTTACTTGAGTTAGCACCAAGGTTAGTTGACTGGATGTGCACTCAAGAGGAAACCATTCTCCAAACAGCAAGGTTACAGTAAGTCACATGACCTGCTTGATGAAAAACACATCATGTGACATACTGTAAAATGTTTCCGCTTCATGTGATTCATGTAAACGACTTCAACGATTGTACTAACATGTTTGTCAGACATCTATTGTTTGTATGTTGCCAAGGTTACCCTGTCCAAACAACACTAGCCTGACCTAACCGCTGCTTTAGGGATTCACTGCTGAGGGAACCGTCTCTGTGGGCTTAATTAATCACCGCCACATGAATGGACCTTCAGGCATACTTGCCAGGACTGAAAGACTTTCAGAACTTTCATCCTGTCCTTAGTCTAATCACAGTGTTGTCTTATGAAGAACTGAGACACTTTCCCTCTGCTTCACATCAGTGAGATTTTAACAGCTGTCTGTTGAATGTGAGGAGCTGAAGTTATTCCGCCTCAGGCTCGTAGCGTTCACTCTGCATTGTTCTCTCAGCTTGGATGTTGGTCGACTTTTTGATTTGTTAATGTTTCACAGATGAATGAACTGCGTGTGTACAATTGTTTTGTATTGTAAATGTGAGAGATTTTACTTTGGTATTTCTTAATTAGCCACCATAATTAACTGCAACTGTAGCTTTCATTACAGCTAAAATACAAACACTATTGTAGAGAATAAAGCATTTTGTTTTGGTAAAATCTCATTGGTATTGTACATTATTACCACTGAATACATTAGTATAGTAAATTTTTACACAGCTCCTCACCATTTAGAGCTAAAACACATGCAGGTATTCTAGCTAGCTGACAGCATCTAAAGAAAGTAGTAATTTTATATTGGCTTAACATTAAGCTTCATGTGTCATTAAAACTTAAAACGGAGCAGTTCAACATTTTTTAAAAGTATGCTTATTTGCTTTTTTGCAGTCAGTTAAGAAGATACCTTTCTGATGTCTGTCTGTTGAATATATATAGCTATAGCCCTCAGCCAGTTAGCTTGCCCGCAGCTAGTGAAGCAGCGAAGCCTGTAAAATGAACTTGTTATACAACTATTTCTATATAAATTAAACAAATGAGACATAATGTTTAAATTAAATTAGAAATGAATCACGTAAATTTATGTAAACATAAACATGTCCTCAGATGTGTAAGAAAGGCACTGCATCTTTGGATTTTACAGAATACAGATCCTGTAACTATCACATTCCAAAGAAACTTACTGCAGCCTGAGCTCCTGCCTTTAAGAGGCAGCTCTTTTTGTTTTGGTTCATAATGTAATCTCTTCACACCTGCCTTTGTGCTTTTGTCTTAGTCCTTACTTGGCTCTCTGCACAGTTTGTCACTCGTATGTTAAAACAATCTCCTCATGAATATTAACCTTTCCCAATCTGCTTAAAACACACTAATGCTCAGACACACACACACACACGCACCTCTTTGTCTTACTATATTCATGGGGACTCATCATTGATAGAATGCATTCCCTCTCCCCTTATCCTAACCTGACCCAGCACAGCTGAATGCCTAACCCCTAACGTAAACCTAATCCTTACCCTAACACCAAATCTCAATCTTCTAACAGCCTTTAAATGTGCATTTAAATATTTTGGGTCCAGCGTTTTCGTCCGGAACAAGGACCCTATAGGTATAGTGGGCTCCAGGGTTTCAACCCCCCAATCCCCCAAACACACACACAAATTTAACCTTGCCCTTTGCATATGGTTTCACCAAGGTCCCAGCTTTTTTCCTCCTCTCCTCACAATAATGCCGTAGGTGTTTGAGGATTCTGAGTTCATGCTAATGTCTCACTACAAGATTTGTCTTCGTTTATTAGCCTAAAGTGTTCATTCATCTTTATCCTGCTCCTGTTCTTAAACTTAAAAGACAACATGATTTAAAATGGCTTAGATAAATATGGCACAAAACCACTACATGACAAACAATAATATTAATATTATTCAAAGAATAAATGATTCTTGTCACTCTTCTCCTAGCTTGCATTTCATTTCAATCTAAACAAGAAAACAAAACTGTTTATTATGTCTGGTAGACTGTGAATTGTTCCTGATCCTCAGTCTGTCAGCAGCAACCTGAAATGTGAAGCTTTATAATGAAACTGGTCCATTTATTCTATTGTTGTATAGCTTCAATATGCTGCAGGGGACTGATGTCTTTGCTTTTAATGAAATTATTAAAAGACGATCCCAGAACCAATTTTCATTAGATTTAATTTCCTGCTGATTACGACATTTAATTGACAGTATGTCATTATTATCCATGACATGGAATTCAGTTTCACTCCAACCTTTTAAACTAGGTAAATTATTATGAAATATTATTTCCCCACCATTTTCTTCTCTTGTCATTTTATTCTCTGCAGGAGTATAGGTGTGATAAGGTCAAACTAGTTTCTCTAAATTATACTGAGGCAACCTATCACACAGCTCACAATGTTTTTCACCAATTTCAGTGCACATCAAATGACATTTTCTTTTCTTAGCTTCATTGGGTCACCAGCAACCTTTCACCCACACCCCTATGTTTTCCCAGTTCATAAATATCACTGTGCTGTTCAATAATGGTAAAGCTCATCTGACTGTGGCACATTGCATAATTTCCCAACAGGTACTATGAATCAACAAAATTGCTGTTAAGCAAAAAACCTGGGGAAGCTTTTGTGTGTTTATTTTGTTTTTTTTTAATGTAGAAAAAAAATAAGGTTACACTTTCATTTCAGAGCGAGACACTGTAATCATGCAAGTGCAGTTGAGAAACTTTCATATATACTCTTCATGATGATATCATTTCATTTTTTTTTTTTTTATCAGCTTTACCTACTGCATTTTTGGCATTTAAAGCGCAAGCCTGTGGGTAAAGCACCCTGACTATTAAGCACACTCAGAAGTTTGCCTCTAAAGTGCATTAAAACCTCCTGGAAGCAGGACAGAATTTTTAACAGACATTTTTTTATGGAGTCTGGACATGAACTGAGTCTATCAACAAGGACCACAAGTAGTAATAGACTGTTTTTCACGCTAAGCTTGTGTTAAATGTCTCTCTGCTCTCAGTGCTGTCAGTGTTGCTCAGCTATGCGATGAGTCAGGGCTGCTCTCATTTTGAGCCCTTTCAATACAAAAGGAGGTCTTGTGTGGGTTGAGAACACAAACAAAGAAAGCTACACTCTCTCCAAAAATGATCACACATTACCACTTGATTAATGATTACAGGAAGCTTGTGTGTTTTGGTCTAAAGATACCTTCAGGGAAATTAGTTTCGCTTTCCCCTCTGTTGGAGGTCAAAGAGCAAAGTCAGCTACAGAACAGTTCACCAGCTGCTGGTAGGGATTGAATCTTTTGTTCAAGGACATTATAGCTTCTCATCATGTGTACGAACTCCGGTGCTTCTGTTGAAGGACACAGAGTCAGTCTTTTTAAATCACAGGCCACCCTTCACCTGCTAACATATATTACAGCTCAAAGAAAACAGCATTTATCACTGTGATTATATTAGCGCTATCAATTTTCCACATTCCTTAAATGTCATCTTACGCACAACCTCACCGGTAGGTTGAGAGGCTGTGGCCTAGACAAATACTCATGCTATTTGTCTTCCTGTGCCTCCTAGAGACTCCAGGGAGAGGAGAGGACGGTCAGGCGGACACATCATTCTCTGATTCGTCGCTGTTCGCTCACTGGGGTCAGGAGCTCAGCCCGGAAAACCGGCGGGTGGCGTTAAAGATGTTCCAGTACTATGGATATAACGGCTACCTCAGTGATCGTCTCTCTCTAGACAGGCAAATACCAGACCTGAGGCCTGATGGGTAAGAGTGCAGGCAGAATGATGCTCAAACACTGTCATTTTTATATATGCTACTGGCATCCTACACTAGATGCTAGCTGTTGGTATAGTATCCTATGCTTTAAGCAGTTTGATTGTGTGTAAACTGATGTTTCTCCTCACTTGCTTCTCTTGGTGATTACATTTGCCCTGAAAAGGTGCAATACTACATAAAAATATCAAAACCAATGTGTGGTGCAGTGTAATCGTGGTATCAGTTAATATGTTTGTGTCTTCATGTAGGAGTGAGCAATTAATTCCTCTATCACAGTGCAGTGTATTTAATTTTATATTGTGATGTGATAATGAGTCTACAGCCACGCTAGAGGCACTGTGAGGCCATGCTTTGAGCTTAATGCTCACAATCACAATGCTAACATGCTGTTGTCAAGCAGATATCGCAGATCATCATGTCTGTACTGTGCCATGTAAATATTATATCATGGTCCATGTTTACCAGCCATGTTGTAACATTTAGTAAAAAAAATAATAATTAAGTGCAGCGGAGGCTGATTGACAGTTTGTAGGTATTTGGTCATAAAACAATGTATTTGACCAGTTGGAATTTTGCCCTGATGGTGGCGCTAGATGAACAAATGTCATGGTGGCTTTAGAGATATGTCAGTCTGGACTAAGTAGCTGACAGACTGACATCGCCATCCCTAACTTTTTTTTTTTTTAATCCTATATTAACAAATATCTGCAAATATGATCTAACACACCCAGAGATATTAAAGGGGTAGCCACCATGCTATAACCGGCGTGGTAAACTTACATTGTCTCAGTGCTGCAACTAAGTATAGCTACAAAGTTTTGAATTCATGCCCATTATAATTTCCCAGAGCCCGAGTTGCCGTCTTCAAATGAATTGTTTCATCTGACCAACAGTCAGAAGAAGTATGGAATTATGGCACTTGGGACAATTAACCAATTATCAAAATAATTTCCAGTTAGTTATATCGCAAACGATTGATTGACAGATCATCAGTGCTGCATCTACAGTGCTGTTCTGTTTATTTTTTTTAAGCTTTGAGGACCTGAAGAGGCAGTTGCTCCGCAGAAGAACACACTGTTGTTCCCTCTCAAACACTGAGTGCCTCTAATTGAAAAACCATTAAAGAAAAAGACTGTACTTCTGCCTACAGCATTCAGTGCAGATACCTGCTGTTGAGTTGATTATATCATGTAGACAGATGAAAACTCTATTACTTGACAGTAGGCTTGATCAAGGGGTGATTCTTATTGTACCAAAATGTCACACATCCCCATGGCTATCTGAAGCTGGCAGGAAAAAGGACATACTTTCCATTCACAGCATATAAAGTAATGGACATGTGCGTTTCCAAAGCCTTCTGCTGTTATTCATGCACTGTGGGCACTTTGATTAAGTCCTAAGTCCTTTACAGGGAATTGTTCAGACCTTGCTGGCTGGCTGTGACTCTGTGACTGGTTTTCAACACAGCTTATATGTTCACATCACCAAGGTTACAGCAGCGCACTGACATCCGTGGGAAAGTTTACACAGCTCAGAGATCTTCGGGGCATTTTCACCACTGCACATCACTAAACTCCCTTCAGACCATCTGTTCCCACTAATACAGGCTCTGTACACTCATCCAAAACTGTTCCAGGGGAAACATTAATCACACACATTTTGAATCCATGTTTTCCCCACACATCTCCCAAACAAAGTGCCTTAACCATGCTTTTCTGTAAATAAAACATGCTCCTGTCAGTAATTAACAGCGTGATATGGTAACAGCCATGTGATTGTGGTTATATTCCACAGGCAGGTAAGACACCACAATCACAGAGCAATTCAGTCTTCACGATTAAATTGAATTAAATGGTGATGTCAAAAAGATTATTATGGGGAGTTTGCAACAGATTTAGCCACCACCATCCACATACTGTTATTGAGGAAATAATTACATAATGCATAATGCATTTGTGTCATTCCACACAGAAAACATCAATTTCAAAAAACATTATCTGCAGCTTTATGGCCATGTTTTTACAGCTCGCTCTCTTATTTCTTAGAAACGAGCATCAGTCTTCTCTTGGGAGAAGAGGCCGGCCTCCTCATTCACAATGAAAATGTCAGGACACATTGTTTTAAAAGGGAAAGAAAGGACCTTGACTGACAGTCCTTAGCACACGGCCATTTATTTATTGCTCCAAAACCAATCCCTTTTATAACTGCATCACTATTGTAGTAGCAATCTGATCATTATATTTCCAAATATCTGCTGGCCATGAACTTGTGCCAGTGCCTACATTTATACCTTGATTCATGAAAATAGGGTCCTGATACAGTCTGCCAAGTAGCTGGGTTGGCATGAAATCTGACATTCCCCGGCTCTCCAGGAATCAATGTCAAATGTATCTGTTAATCCTTCAGACAAGATGTAGATCTAACCATTGCCTCACCAAGGATTTGTTATTTCTCCTCCACAGGTGCAGAAACATCACTTATCCTTTAAACCTTCCTCAAGTGAGCATTGTGTTCATTTTTGTGAACGAAGCCTTGTCTGTCATCCTGCGGTCCATTCACTCTGCCATCAACAGGACGCCCTCCCACCTTCTCAAAGAGATAATCCTGGTCGACGACAACAGCAATAACAGTGAGCAGCATCATTTTTAATACAGCAATTGACCGTTTGTTAAACTCCCCTCCCCAAACAATGTGCATTTGTAGCAAGGTAACTATAGGCTATTCAGGCCTATTCAAGCTTTGGGTTTCTTGACATGTTAAGTGTGCATGTGGCTTCAGCAAGAAAGATACTCTGCATTTAAAGGATTTGGCAGCAGTGGAAGTGTAAGGATAGATTTAACAACTTTCTGGGTTTTAACATCATCGGTTAATAATTTTTTAGAGAATCCAAGGGTCACCTATAGTATGTGACCTCAATATATGCAGAATCAGATCACAGACAGAGATTACTCTTAAAAGACAAAAGAAACCAATGTGAGAGTTTGACTTAGGTGGAGGAACTTTGAGGCTGTTGGCTCCTAGTCTCACCCTTTCTTAACGATGTCTTGTGATCATCATTCAGTTGCACACATTTCAAATGACTGGTCAGATGCTTATTGCCAATGTGGCTGACGTTTAAACTTGTTTTTTCAAACCAATTTTCATAAAGAAAAAAAATGGGGGAGGGGGGGGGGGTGATTTGTTGATAAAAGTCCTTCAAATGTTCATACAAACTGGCTTCAGCTGTTGCCAGCACTACACACCACACGCATGCCGGTGCTATAAATCCTCGGGTGCCGCCATAAACACAGTTCTTCTTCTGATGGTTTTTGGCATTTGGCAAACAGCTTTTTGGTGCATTAATGCAACCTTCATGTTCATTACTTGCAAATGGATTCATTCACCAGTTCAATGAACAGTGCTCATTTAGCACATTCATGCACAACCTTGATCACAGTGTTGCCACCTGTCACACTTCTAGCTCAGAATATCCACTGTCAAATACAGTGTCTCACGCTGACCAAAACTATGTAGAATATCGGCTCCTTTTCCTCTTTTACTAAATATCGGTGGCCCTCACACTATCTCCACATTGAGAGAGATTTTTCCTCACGGCAAACAGGTGAGCTGTTGCACACAAATTCCAAGTTTATGCAGTGAAACGGTTTAAGGAACCAAGCTGCTGTGTTCACAATGAGTCCAGCACTTTCAAACCTTTCAGCACATTTTTATGTTTATTTTATAATGTTTCCTCTGGAGAATGACTTTTTTTTCCTGGCATGTCAGCTGAGTTATTAAAGGTAGTTATCAATTTTGCTGCTTAAATGTAATAATATTTGCAGTAGTGTCATTGCTGGAAGCATAGAACTTGTCAAATCACTGAAGTAAATAAAAATAAGGCAACAGATAATAGGCCTAATAATGAAAAAACAGTTTATTGTACTCAGCTTATTAGTTACTCTGCTGTTGTTTTCTCAGTGCAGAAATATCTTTATATTTATGCATTGATAGGTATAGCTGTGGTTAATGAACCATAAATTCTATGCAAAAAAAAAAAAGTCTGCCCCTGGTAGTGTATTTGGATATACGCCTGTATTTTGGTTTGCTGTGTCATTGCCTTTTGGAACTTCACAGTGCTTCACAGTGGTGGAATCTTTTTTTTTTCCCTCAAATTCATTTGATGGGTCATCTCACCCAAATTACCAATAAATAAATAAACAGATACATTCAACTAGAAATGAAAATGTTGTCACTTTTCCCTCATGGTGTCTGGCCACTTAGATAGCTAGATTCAATTTGAGATATCTGTCTCTAAAATTCCACCAATACAATGGAGGTGAATGGAATTATTTGGTACTGCGTTAACATCTCTTTCCACAAACAGTGCCATTGTTACTCCACACAACACAGTGTCATCCATTTTCGCTGGAACTACTTTCTACTGCAAAAATAGTCCCTACAAAAACTGTCAATAATGAGTTCTGTGGAAACCAACCCACCAATACCCACCCACCCCCACCATCCTCACTGGACAAGGGCTTCCTTTCCTTATGAATCCCATTTTAACCCCTGACCAAAGTTTGAAAATAACTCATGGAGCTAATGTTAGTATTTCATTCCAGCTGGCTAGAAAATGAAGTCTGCTTTTTTCTACATCTGAAGTTAAGAACCCAATTTTAGTTATCGTTGTAAACTGTGCATCACATGTGCAACAGTTGGAATTCAAACAACCATTTCAGAAAGTACTTTTCAGCAGCTTTGTGCTAAAGGAGGCCTATAGTTTAAATATCACTGCTTTATGTGTGGAGAAATCGGTATCTGTGATATGTACTGCTCCTCTGATGGCCTCTAGACTCCTTTTAATGTTTTTAATTCGAGTCTGTGTTCACTGGATTGAACCGATAGATGAATAACACTAATTAGCTGCAGAGCCTGGATATTTGCCCCGAGGCAGATAACAATCCAGCAAGGTGATGAAGTGTTTGCAGATATCTTGTCTGCATTTGCAACCCTCATCCATACATCTGCATGCATTGGATGTTGCGTAAACAGTATTTGGTCGAAAAGATATCCAGTATATGCTGACAATGTGCAACTGCTGAGCTCTGTTCGTCCATTATTACAGAGACTGGCTGTGACTGATGTGTGAGAATACTAAAAGGTGACTTAAGTCTGCCATGCAAAGCACAATAAGTTGTCTTGAAGTAACCTGTGAAAAGTGGACCTTGTAATATACAGTGTAAGGCTTAACGACATTACAAAAGCAGAAAGCAGGCTATAAAACGGTAATGATACTGTGCCAAGGTCATTTATAGGCAATACACTTTTAAATGGGCTGTTCTGCTTGTAACAAGGACTGAGACAACCATTAGGGGCAATCAACATGGCAAATACTGGCACTGGGAAGAATATGTTTACCAAAGTCAATTATGCAAAGCATGTAGCATGGCCTGTAGCTTGCTGGAAGAGAATATAGATCACTGTGGTATTGTCTTGCTAACGTGTCTCAACATGTTGGTAAAAGAATGATCTATTATTGACCAGGAAGGTGAATATATCCAAAGTTATCCATTCATTAAAAAATGAAAAGGTGAAAACCCAAACGTTTGCTCCCACTCCTCCTAGCACAAGAGGATTATCACATCACATCTCATCTCATAAACATTCATATTTCATCACGTAATTGAGAACTCGGAGCAGTCGCCTTTAGCTCCCTCAGATACCCAAATCATGCACTGACATTTTGCTGGTGGCATTTCACCCTGTTTGCTTGAGCACTCTGTCACACTGCGTCTGATAGGCCTGGTGTTATCATTATCACCATGACTGTGAATCTTATCTGTGTTAAATGTCATTAGCCCGCTGACCCGTGATGCTGCTGAGATTGCTGAAGGGGTCATCGTCCACAGCTAACCTCCCAGGCATCCACAGCTTTACATTAGTCATCCGCCACTGTCACAGCTCACCTCCGTGAGGCATTAGCATGCAGGAGAATGTGTAGCCATCAAGGGAGAGAAGGGCAAATTGACCTAGCTGATTCTGCCTTAATTGGATAATGTCCCAAGCTGTGGCCCAAGAAAGGCTTGTCTGTGTAAGAGCGAGATTTTGAGAAGGGCTCACTTATTAGACAGGCTGTCAGAAGGCTTATGATTCAATACTTTAACTGAAATGATTAATACCAAGAAGTCTTGTATATGTGTGAGGGTGGACGATTTTGTGACGAGCAACTAATTTCAAGCAAAATGTGCTTTGTCTGTAAAAGAAATTAGTGGAAATTTCCATGACAATCTCTAATGGCCCACAATGACTTTTTCCATTTGCCTGTTTTATCCTTTAAAATGTATAAATATTTTCTAGTTTACTGACTTGACCAAGAAAAACACCAACTATTCCCATTTGAGAAGCTAAAACCAGTGAATTCTCTGCCATTTTTTCTTAAAATTAAAACAATCGGATATTAAAATATTGCTGATTGTTGTCGATCGACTAATCAATGAATCAACTTGTCTTTTCAACTCCAATTAAGCTCAAGACCTGTATATTCATGTTTAGCATTTACAGCAGATGACAAGTTATTACTGATCACTTGCTTCTCTTTGACACGTTCATCCAGCACCTCAGGTTTGCAAAGAAGTTGTAGCAACTGTTTAAAACCAGTTTGACATCCCGCAAGCAGTCTCTGCAGGTCTAGCCAACGAAAGCTGAATACACACAAAAGCTGGGACAATATCAGCACAAGCCAACAAAGCCGAGTTTACAGCACATACTGCCATAAAATAAAAGCAGTGCCCATTTGTACTGGAACTTCAGCGGCATGTGTTAAATGTTTTTAACAAACTGCCAATGGAGCCAGGGTTCGATATGAGCCTGTTGGAATTGTGGAGGACGAGCGAGTATCAGTTGGATATTTTAAACATGGATTTTCACAACCGCAGAGTTGTGTAGTCAGAAATTGCCAACTTGTGTAGTGCTAAGTACACAGCAACTGTGAGACCTGTATCCATGCCGATTTGCCATCTGCTGGGCCAGCAATAACGCCAGCGTGGTAATCAGTGGTGTTTAGTTTAAACACGCAGGAACAGAACATAGAGTATTTGGCACATAGACCAACAAGCTCTGTTCAGACATACAGTAACACAGAGTGATGGAGCGGCAACAGGTCGTAGATGAAAGGACACAGTTTATCCCATTCATTAATCAGATATCCTTTGCCTGGTTATACGCAGAGCTACATATGTATGTCACTGTCACAATTAAATTCTGTGCACACTTAGAGAAAAGCTAAAGCCTTATAAGACTATAAGAGAGTGTTGTTGTGAATTAGAAAAACAGTATCCATATTCAGGTAGTTATACACATTTTTATTCCATGTTATTTTGTCATATTGCACTGAGGATAGTATAGAGGTGAGCTAAATGCTAAATGGCATGTTCACCATTTCGTTGCTCACCATCAGCTTTGCTCTTTATCTTCTGAGACAGACCTTTACTTGTTACATTTAGAATATGTTCCTGCATAACTGCACAGTGATGTGAGAAACCTGTTCGCATCTTGTTCTAGTCCAACTCCATCCCAGAGCCCATTGCTTTCCAGCTGAGCTTCAGCAGGATATCGGTCCTGAAAGATTGATGACTGTTGGCCATCAGCCATTCCTGGTGTAATGAACTGTGCTTTATTATGATTTGTTATGAGGCATAGCACTTCATCTTTCTTGTTTTCAATTCACTCGCACCTCAGAATGTCTTAATTATTAATAGATTAGGAATTATTATAGACAGAGTAATCTGGTGGAACGTCATGAGCAGCTGCTTGCATGAGTAACTACAGTAGCTTTTCTCTCCGCAAACCTGAATCAGTAAAACTGAGTGTTTCTTAGCCGTGGCCTTCCTGGTCCAGAGTCCCTCTGCTTGAAGTTCTGAATATCTAATCAAGGGCAGGTTTACACCTGGGATGTTAACCGATTGCAATCAACAAAGAAGGACAGAAAACCAATCACTGCTCGTCTGAGTGGGATGCTATAATACTAAACATACATGTAGAGTACCATAGAGGTTCATGTTCAATATAGTGCATATAGTGTGAGTATTATTCTTCTCAGGACTTGTTAATAGCAGCAGTTCATAATTTGAAATGACCAGCAGCTCCAATGGTACTGTATTTCTGACTGTGATATATTTTTACGAAATAATTGTATTTGTAATATTTGTATTTACTGACTCATGATGTCAGTTCTTGCCCAGGTACAGTTAAGACAAACTGAGGTAAGCGATGTCAGTATAATTGTGGCCACTGGTAGTGCTATGAAGCAATATTTTTACAAGTGGATCTCTATTTTGTTTGTACAGTGCACATGTATGAGGACATGCTGGCAACAACAGACATCACAGTCCTACAGTGGGTTGACAGGAAACCAGCAAAAACAATGTGTAACGGGTAAAAAATATGCTAATATTAAGTCATGAGCTGAATGAACTGAATGCAGATGGGCAGCGGCTGAAATAAATGAAAAAAACAAACAAACAAAAAATAGTAATGAAAATAAGAACACAATTTTTAAAAAGATCTAAATCAGCGTAACTTCTATCAAGCCATCTTGATTTTTTTCTTTTTAGTGTGAATGCCTATGGCAACCTTTCACCCTCAATTCATCATCAGCCCAGAGCTGTGAAGCTGTCCTCGACATGAAAAATCATAATCCTAATCATTCAATACTCATAATGGCCAAATACTATTTAGATTTTTAATTAAACTGGTACATTGTTATTTTCTTATATTCAAGAAAAACAACACACACTATACTTGCAATGTTGAAATTTAACTTTTTTATTTTATACATACAGTACAGTCTGTCTTCTCTTGCAATACTGTTGCTTGCATACTTGTAAATAACTAGACCTACCGCCTTGTAGTTGTATGCCTGCGCCAACCAGTCAAGTTGCATTTTACATCCATGACAGATATGTAGTGAAGACTTTGAAGGAATTTAAAAAAGGCATTGCGTTTGCAGAACATTATGATGTCACAGTGAAGTTGACCTTTGGTTTCAAGTTTAAGTTTATTTGTCATATGTAGGTTTACACAAGGTTTTACCATTTGAATATAAAATGTCATCACTTCATAATTTTATCCTATTAGAGATTTTTGGGAAATTTTGTAATCAGTATATTAATTTTTGAGTTATGGCCAAAAATGGAATTTGTGAGGTCACAGTGACCTTGAACTTTGACCTTTGACTACCAAATTTTCATCAGTTCATCCTTGAGTCCAAGTAAATGTTTGCACCATGTTTATAGAAATTGCCTCAAGTTAATGAGATATCACGTTGAACCTTTGAATAAACAATACCTTATTAAAGATATGGAAATTCTTATATTAAATTCTTGTATTTTATATTAGAATTCACTGGTGTAGAGGCATGAATTGATCTGCTATGAGATGTGTTCACCAACAGGTGCCAACTTTAGCTACTTTTCTAACAGTACTCTTTTTCCAGTGTTGATGGATTGGAAAATCTAACTTTTCTTGACTTTATAAAATGCCGCACCCTGCCTCTAAAGAAGCCAGGCGAAGCATGATTTCACGGCGACTGATTTCTGTCTGTTTGCAACTGCTCCCCATTCCCCTTAAAACTCAAAAGGTACCACCAGTAAAAAGTAAAATAGTGAGAACACAGCCTCGGGTAATTTATGATGAAACACTGTGCTGATAAAAGTTAATTTTTTTTTTCAAGCTTTATTCTGTTGATAATAAAGTATAAAGTTGTGAAATGGTGGTTTTGCTTACTCCCTGGCTCCTGCTGTCACTTGACAGTAAACTCAAAAGCATGGCCTTACAAGGACAAGGTATTTTTCACTTGCCTTGAAATTTTTATACTTGAACCACATGGGAAACCTTTAATATTCTACCATAATTTATGTATTTTTTAGAAAATTTGCAGAATTATTGCTAACACTTATAACTTGTAGGGCAGACTATAGCACTGACTCTTTTGTCCTGCAGGGTATCTCACCATACAGTATATATCTCAGGTAATAATGGAGGTAAACAATGAAGCCAAACATTAAACTAGACGGATGTCCTCCATCTCCTCCCCTCGTGATTTGAAAAGCATTGCAGGCTGAGTCTTCTATATTGCAATATCCCGTTATGACTGGTAAGCCCCATGGAGGTCTGCAGTGCTGGCTCAAGCTGCTGCCTCTTTGGTCCAGTGATCAAAGCAGTGAAGCGCAAGTATTTTTGGACCAATAAAATACTGCCCAGTGAAGGAGGACATGACAACATCTTGTGGGTGGAAGTTTGTTCACAAGCTTACTCACCTATCTCAAACGGGATCTTCAAACACTGCTCAGATATTAATGTAAAATTCCTGTGTCTGTGTGCTTTGCAGATGAGCTGAAGGAGAAGCTGCAGGATTTTGTGTCTGAAACCAACAGCCAGCGTCCAGGGTTCATTAAGATGGTGCGGCATGCCAAGCAGGAGGGTCTGATCCGGTCCAGAGTGAGTGGGTGGAGGGCTGCCACTGCCCCAGTTGTTGCCCTGTTTGATGCCCACGTCGAGTTCAGCGTCGGCTGGTGAGTCACACACAACATGTGCTGCATGAGGTTAGCACAGCTCAACACAAGAGCGCTGGTTCTTGAGTCATATCACCCTGTGTGGGTTTACTGAAAATAATTTAAAAACAAAGACAGCAGATTGGCTCGTTTTCTAGAGACAGTATTTTGTATCTATTAAAAAACCTTTCATACGATGTACGTATAGAATACGCTCTGTGCACAACAATCACTAATCTGCCATGGTACTCTAAACTAATGTGATTTTATACCCTTATTGTCCAAATGCCTAACTTCAAATGATCAAGACATGAACGTGTTAAATCAATAGCTCTGCATTTTCCAAAATACCTTTTCACTTTCTAAAGAAAGACTAGATGAGAACAACAATGCCACTCTCATGTCTGTTCATATGTCTGTTAAATAAAAGGCTAGCAAGCAGCCAGTTAGCTTAGCTTAGCACAGAGACTGGAAACGCAAGGAAACGGCTAGCTTGGCTCGGTCTGAAGATAATAAAATGTGCCTACACTTTGTTTTTTACTGTTCAAGGAAACAAGACAGCACTCATTAATTAGTAAGCTTTCTTCTCAGCCTACTCTCAATAAGAAAGAAAATGAGCTTATACTTATTATTATACTAAATCTTTACATGATATTATTTTGAATTAATACGCTTGAAGTCATACATATAGAGCATGAAGAGCTTTGATCCCTTTTGCGGATATTCAGCAGTAAAGGGGAAGACCAGCACATTGAATTGCCTTGTGAATGTATTGTGTAGTTTTTCCTAATATTTTGAATAAAACAAAAAAAAAAAACTTTCAGTTTATCTGATGGGAAAAAATGCTCTGTCAGACTATAATAAATTAAACTGAATCATCTCTTGAAATTGTTTTTTAAAAGGGGCCCTTACATGACAGACATGATCACCAAGCTAATGGAGGAAGTCTGTCAAAACAAACAGTCACAGTAAAATTACTTCCTCTCTCCATATTTGAAGGGCTGAACCCATTCTGCAGAGAATTAAAGAAGACAGAACCCGCATCATCTCCCCATCATTTGACAACATCAAGTACGACACGTTTGAGATTGAAGAGTATCCGCTGTCTGCCCAGGGCTTTGACTGGGAGCTGTGGTGTCGCTACCTCAACCCACCCAAGTCCTGGTGGCACAAGGGCAACAAGAGTGCACCAATCCAGTAAGTGAACACCACAGTGTCTTTATAGCCTTATTCAAATATGATATGATTAATATAATATATGTATATACATATTATCTGAAGTTAAGTAGATGAATATCAACTCTACAAAAAGGGTCATTTATGCAGTATTCATGACAAAATTATATGTTATACAGGGTCACATTTCTCTTCTCCTTGCTGCTGTTTCTATAGCAACTGAGCCAAGCTAACATTACCTGTGCAGACAACAGCAACAGACCAATAAAACTGATCTCCATCATCTTCAATCCCCCAGGAGCCCAGCCCTGATTGGCTGCTTCGTGGTGGATAGGCTGTACTTTGAGGAGATTGGGCTGCTGGATGAGGGGATGGAGGTGTATGGGGGAGAAAATGTGGAGCTGGGCATCAGGGTGAGTAATAATGTCATTCGCCATGGCCGTGGGCCATTTTTCATCCAGGTAATATGTGGAAAATTAACTATGATAATGACAGTTGATGGTTGTTAGAAGCAAGGTCAACGTGGGCCTGACACTCTTCTTTGTATGTAAAATGCTAAATTCATTGAAAAAGTGACATTTGGTTTTATATAATGTGGGTGGCATTTAAAAACTGTGTAGAGGTGGAGTGGCAGTTATTAAATTCAAATATGACATGGTCAAGCCATATACTAGGTTTTGACCTAGTCTTGTTTCTATTGTTGACCTAAAAATCTAATTTTTATATGATGACTTTACGAATAATTGAATCGAACTTACCATTTGTAAGTTTTTAATTATAGAATGTAAGCTCAATGCTGCGGACAAAAATCCTAAAGTGTCAAAATCAATAAACACTGTCCATGTATGTGTTTTTTCTTTAGCTTTTGGACAGGAATGGAGGTCTATGATGAGACGTTGGCTATGCAGGAAATAATTGTTAGTAGGATCAATTCATTGTCGGTATTGGTCTTTTCATGGGATTTGTTTACAATAAGAAAATGAAAGAATATCATCAGCCTGTTTTTTTAAACCCTTTTAAACAGGAAAACTAATGTAATGCCAGTTAATACATGCTTTGACAGGAACAGGTGAATACAGTGGAATAAATTATCCTTTAGCAAGTATTCAAAACACACTGTGACCTGCTCTCTCTTGTGTCATCCTAGCTAGAATAAATAATCACCTCTAATTAAGTCTGAATGATCACCTTCATCCCCTGGTGATTCCACAGAAACATGTGAGAGTTGTAGGACTCAAAGTCATCGTTACTGTTCGCAGTGATGTGTGAAGACAATGCCGACATTGTTCAAAGCAAATGGATGTACTGTCTCTCTGTTACAAATTATGGAAGGCCACAGGGCACCATATTAGAATGATAATGTAAACTTGAAATTGCAGTCCCACAATAGTTTTGTAGTTTTTACATATGTATGTGTAGTACGAGAGTAAAAATTTAAATGAAATTGCAGAAATCCAATTTTCATTTTCATATTATTTTCATATTCTATGACCATATTAAAATGAAAATAGAAAAACCTATTGTAATGCTTTGATGATTAGGGAATTCCAGGCAAATTGGTGTCCCTCCTTGCGCTGGTAGTGCTAGCAGTGGAAGTAGTGGGAGTAGTACTCATTTTCATTTTGACACCACTAGAGCCTGGTGACATGTAAGCGTAAATGCAACAGATTGGGGGTGCTGTTTCGCTTATAGCATCTGAATCCAGGTTTTCTAGAACCCTAAAATGTTATTACATTCATATCTCAGTGTATAGAAAGGGCATTTTTTAAGCAAGTCTCAGAATTTCTATCATGAAACAACCTCCTTGATCCAAATCCGTCGGGCTTTAAGAGTGGCCACTCCACTGAAACAGCTCTGTTGTCTGTGACAGAAGCCATATGGGCAGCTAGAGCTGCAGGTCAGTCCTCAGTTCTTATCTTACTGGATCTATCAGCAGCCTTTGATACAGTGAACCACCATACCCTGCTGTCCATACTCTCCAACATGGGAATCTCAGGCAAAGCACTTTCTTGGTTTCTTGGTCTTATCTCACTGGGAGCTCTTTCAGTTTGTCATGGCAAGAACAAACATCCTTATCCCATCCATACTGGGACCCCTCTGCTTTGCATTAAACACTTCCTCCTTGGGTCCAATTATCCGCTCCCGCTACAATAGGTTCAATCTTTGAAAATGAAATGTCAAATGCTGATGTCATTTTCAAATCATTTCATATCACTTTCAAAATTGCATTTTAAGTGACTTGAATATTACTTGCATCAGTGGAAAATCAGGTTAAATTTGACATTTGAATATTGTTCACTGTACAACCAGGTATGACTTTGAAAATTTAATGTCAAACAGCTTTTCCATATTCATTTTAATATGGCCATAGAACACCCATACAAGTATGTGAAAATGGAAATGCAAATTGGATTATTTCATTTTCATTTTCATTTTTACTCACATATACATATACACATACATATGTGAAAAAAATGAATGCTTTTTTTGGAATTTTCATATATATATATTAATAAATTCCCAAGGCTTCCATATAATTCTTCTCACAGTACTATACTTAATTTGTACTACATCATCAGCTTTGACTGGGGGCTGAAAATTGCTTGGTGTGTGTTCAGTTCAGCAGTACCACAAGCAGATGGGCTGAAGAAAGAACAACCCTCCTTAGGGATAGCTAATGATAGCTCACATCTACTGTACAAAGATCATTAATGCAGCTATCAGCCAGTTCAATAGCAGCGAGAAGTGAGGGACAACTCCTTGGCTGCACTCTCACTAGATTGCACTGTGAGAAGGAAATGGAGACAAGCTTACAACAGGACGTCGAATGTGGAAATATCCATCCTCGCTAATGACACAGATGCAATCATCAGTAAAGAAGGGAGATTGGTCCCCTAAGTCATTTTCCTCCAGAAATTACATGCTTTTAGAATTCCTGTGCCTGATAATAGCCTCACTGACGGCTTTATAGCTGGACACATTGATGATTTTATCACATACTATATTATAAAACAGCGTTCTCCCCCTCCCTACGTATTAACAGTTTGATGAATCATTTTGGTTCATTGCTCTGTTTCTCAGTTTTGAGTTCAGTGTTGCCCTCCATGTTGTTTACTTGCTTGGTTCTGACAGGCTGAAGGAACTCGCCCTTGCCTGGAGGTTAATGTAGTGTAGAGTTCAGTAATGCTTTTGAAACAGTGGGTGACACAGTGAGCTGAGAGCTACAAGACTGGAGGACCCTGGCTTGGCCCCGGATTAACAGTGCCAGAGAGCCCCAGCAGGGTCCGTCCGTCCGTCCGTCTTTCTGTCTGTCTGTCTGTCTGTCTGTCTGTCTGCCCATCCGTCTGTCTGTCCGTCTGTCCATCCGTCGTTAAGTCCGTCCGTCCGTCTGTCCATCTGTCCGTCCGTCTGTCGGTCTGTCTGTCCGTCTGTCCGTCTGTCTGTCTGTCTGTCTGTCTGCAGTACATTGGTCATGCCTCCAGACCACCTGCCAGCACACAGACTGGCTGCTGATGGATCCTCTGAGACACACTCTAACCAGGCCAACAGCTACAGGCTTTGGCAGAGGCTTGAAAGGGCTGTCCTGGGTAGTGTGAGGGTGAAATGAACCGCTGCTCTCTGTTCACATTCGGTCAAAAAATGGAAGCTGAATTTTTCTACCACGATGTACAAAAAATTGCATTCTCAGTAAGCACGGCAACACAAATGTTTCCGTTATTTTGTGTGTCAGTTTCATAAAACATCCTTCTGTACAGTTGTAGTGTAGTGTAGTGTATATGTGCATATATACCGCCACTACCGCCCTCTCTATCTCTCTCTCTCCATTTCTTCCTCAACCCAACCAGTTGAGGCAAAACAGCCGCCCACCATTAGCCGGGTTCTGGTCAATTCTTCCCCCCATTAAAAGGCAGTTTTTCCTTGCTCCAGTCTCCAGGTGTTTGGTCATTCGGGAATGTAGGGTCTCTGTAAATGATATTATAAAGTAAGGTCTCTACCTGTTCTATATGAAAAGTCCCCTGAGAGAACTTCTGTTTTAATTCAGCACCATATAAATAAAATTGACTTGACTTAACTTATAGTAAATATGTATGAATGTAGAATTCGTACACTTTCCTGTAGACAAATACAGTAAGTACCTGCAGTGCCACCTCTCTGTTAAATCCACACAGCAATGTAAGGTATCTAAAAAAATTTTACTTCTGCCATAATATATAACTGGGAGATGTAACACCAGTTACAATAAGTACCAGTTATATGTTGAAAATATGGTCATCTAAATGCCATTGAAATAAAGGTTATAATCTGAAAAACTTAAATCCAGTTTTAACAGACTAGACTTCTTTTTCCCCATAAATCCCCAATAACCACATTGACTGTTCTGTGCTGGCAAAATCCACAAGGCTCTGCTACATGAAATTAATTTAACTTCAATATATTAAACCTTCAGGTTCGTATTTCAAGTAGCTTGCCAACAAAAGACCGATCAAAGACCGTTTAAGATTGAGCTGCCTGCCTTTAAGGTTCCAGTGATCTCTCGCTGGCTGAGCTGGGTACACTCTGCATACATTTCTCATCTGAAATGCCACTTTAACAATTTCATGTGATTCAGCTTTTTTCAGTCTCAAATGGTTAGACTGAAAAACTTTTACATCTGTCGGAGAGGGCAACTGCTAACTGTGATCAACACAATATCTGTGGCTTTACTGCCAGAGATTGTTTGATTTTGCCACTGCAGTAACAGCAGCATTTATATACAACTGAGATCTTGTCAATGAGGGGAAATTATGATGATGCAATCTGTGGTGTCTTACAATAAATTTCTAAAAGCTGTTGATTGAAAGTGTGGTCCTTGTCCACCTGGCCTGTCACAGCTGTCTTACAGTACTGGCTGTCTATCTGAGCTTCAACTCACAATGTGTTGATTTGTTTTCAGAAAATCTGAGGTGGGTGTTCAGCAAACCTAAGATATAATTTTATTGTGAAGTGTCCCTTCAAGTCAGTAGAACACACAACAAATTGGACAGGATCCTGAAACAGAATATAATTCAGTACAAATGGTTTCCTAAAACACCTGTGAATGCTGGGTAGTGTGCCAGTGAAGCCAGCCCGCAACAATGCATCACTAGAAGACCAAGGCAGACATCATCGCTCTCAACTGATGCCAGGACGGTTGTGTTGAGAAATTAGGATCATTGAGGGCTATGAAAAACAATTATGATGCAGGCTCTGTGCACAGTATTTACGAAAGGGGCAATAAAACACCATTACTGTCAAAATAATGATTTACACATTACAGTTTGCCCAAATGTGTCATATTATCTGTATGAGCATTTTGAATAGCAATGCGAAACATAGTGAAACGTTATTATACTGTAATATTGAGACTTTGGACACTTACATGGATTAGACCCTG